GTAAATAAATAAATCTTTAAAAAAAACAAAAACCCAACCTTTCTGAAAAAAAAAAAAAAGTTAAAATACCCCTTGTCATAAAGAGATGGATCAGAAGCCAATAGGGTGTCCTGGATACCAAGGGTTAGGAGTTCAAGGCAGGATATGGGGGAGGAGGCATTGGATGCTAAAACAGTCAGGGGAGCATCTGGGAAGACAGGAAATTGAGCATAAGGTACTGAAGAGGAGAAAGCTGGCCACAGAGTGGAGTATGCAGTTTAACCCCATTTACCTAAAAATGAAATAAGCAAAAATTGTGCATGTATAACAATGAAGAGAAAAAGAGTTGGAGGGATACCTACTAAATTGGGAGCGGAGGGATGCAGTGGGTAGGTGAGGTGGCGGAGGGAAGGGAAGGGCTAGAATTCCTAAGTATGAGGGTTCGAAATCATATCTCTTAGGATACATATACTTCATATTGTTTGACTTCTTTTTCGAAGAGGATATATTCTTGTATTATTTTGTATAATTAAAAAAATACAAAAATTTACCCCCCAAAAATGTAGGATTTGGCCTGGTAGGTCAAAGGGGAGAAGTTATTCCAGGTGAAAAGAATAGCTAAAGGTGGAAAGCTAGAAGGTATGTTTGAGGAATAATGAGGAGATGGGTGGGGCCCGCACCAAAAGGATGTAACTGGAATGTAGATTGGGGTGGCTGGAGAAAGGCTGTGAGCAGGAGTGAAAGTCTTTCACTCTTCACCAAATGTGATGAAGAAACAATTGAGGAGTTCGGTTCATGGGTAATTATTCTAGCTGGATAAGAATTAATTTTTAGTGTGCCTACTTGAAGACTCAGTGAAGTTAGATAATGTGACCTCAAATCTCCCTGCCATGCACACACAAAAGACAGTGGAAACATCTCACAGTAGTTGTGGCAAGAGAAACTGACTTATGCAACCCTGTTGTTAGATTTTTTTTTTTTTTTTTTTTTTTTTTTTTTTTTTTCAGAAACCACTGAAAGATAGAAATCCATCAAATGCAATCGGGGAGCAGCCACTTATATTTGATCCACAGCATTAATTTAACCATAAATCTTTGTGTAATGTTTGACATGGCTGATGAATAATTCAAATGTATGAGCCCCAGCTTGTAAGAAATGACTTAGTCTGTTTTGTAAAATTTGATCTTAATAATGAAATGACTTTAAAAATGAAATTATTTCAAAAATGAAAATCAGAGGAATTCATTAATATGGCATTTGTTTTAGATTGTTTGTCCTTCCCTTAGGTAAATTGACAATCAATATTTTCCTTAAACTTATGTTTGTAATGATAGCACTATTCAAAGACTATACATGTACACATTATATTTTATTCATACATGCACATTCATATAACAGACGCAGTGTAACAAAAATCTATGGCTGCCTGAGAGAGGGGAAGTCACTGACCTACAAGCCAATTTTGAAGGAAATGTTAAATCTAATAGGAGGAAAAATACTGTAGCTGGTGGGATCTTGAGTCTTGCATTGTGACTCATTTTAAATGATTGGATTCTGGATGAGATGATTTTCTTTATTCACCAACAAGTGGAAGAGGGACACATCATAGCTCTAGAATGATGATGTGAATTAGGTTTATAAAAATGTGGTCTCCACTTACAGCAAATTATCTTGTAACCAGAAGTGATGTTTAAAGAAGAAACTGACCATTGGGTTTAGTTTTCAGTTTCCTTCTTCAAACTTTAAAGTCTTTTAACCTGCATTTTGCCCCTCATGCCCCCACCACGGGCTGTCTGACCTTTTTCAGAGAGGCACATGGAATTTTTAACGGACAAAACTGAGCTTTCCTGCCTGATGAAGGGAAAACACATAACAGGACATAAGAAAGAATCTAAGAAAAGCATTACAAATAATGTGGCCGGAAAGATTATTGATTTCGTATGTTGCATTTTCCTCAGAACCCCTCTCTGTTCTTCTTAATCCTTTAAAATTATTTTGTGGCATCTCTCCCCATCACAAGGATGGGGGCAACATGAGGTGTCTGACCCTGGGAGTTGGGAGAAGGCAGGAATGCAAGATGATCCTGTGCGGTACATGATTAGATAACACAGAAATTTTAGGAAGACTGTTTTTAGAATAAGAAAAATGATCTTTTAAAAAATCTTACCAATTAGAAGTAGTTTATACCACCAATTTGATCAATTCAATCCAGTAAATATGTACTACTATCTGCTAAGTTGATTAAAAAAAAAAAAAGCATGTAGCTCTGATAGCATTGTGTTATTCAACTGGGTTACAGAAGTACAGGATCTCAGCTTCCAGTACAATTTAGACAGAGGATGTCTGTTCTCTGCCTTTCTCCTTTCTGTTTCGGTTTCTCTCGCTCTCTTGCGGAGTCTGTCTTCCTCCCCAGTCTGTCTTCCTCCCTGCTAAATGGACACCCTGTATGTATCTCCATCAGGGAGCAATACATTGTTTGAATAGTATCTAAGTCTGCAATCCTGTAGTTGGGAAAAAAAACTGCTTCCTGAGTTTGATACTTCCTCACTCGTGGAAATAAAATGGATCGTCTCTGAAAGACAACAGCTTAAGCTAAGGCTAAGACAGAATTATTTCTGAGTGCAGAAGTTAGAGAAGGTCATTCTAGGCAGAAAATAGGAGCTGATTTTACAATCACACAAAACTTTTTAAAGAGGGGAAGAAATGGGCATTAGTGAAAAATTGATATGCTGAGAGAAATTAGAAATTGCTATGGAGTTAGGAAATATTTTGGACAAAAGTAATAATAATAGCATCAGTCTAGCTGTACATCAAAGTATTTGAGATGAAACATCCAAAAATATGCAAAAACAAACAAATATCACTTTGTTGGTGCTATTAAAAATAACCCAGAGCATAGGAAAAAATACCCCATTCATTTTCAGTGAACTCAGGTAGTTTATCAATGGTTTGTGATCTAAATTGTATAAGAAAACTTACTACCTACAATTCATTTCTGCTTTCCCTCTAAGTTCAGGGATAAAATTATTAGTTTTTTACTATACCTAATATTTTTATTAAATTTAATTTTATAAAATATGTAAAATATAATACTTATAACATCACCATAAATTTATAATTTACTTATATGATATAATTATTAAAATACATACTCATACTGAGGCACATATTTTCATGAAATGCCATCTTTATTCATGAAAATGCCATCTTTAACTATTTTTAAATATTTTAAGTACTTCAATATTTTGAGACATTAAAATGGTTTATTTCTGGGCTTTAAAAAATGATTTATAAGTGTTTCTCTAACTAAGAGCTAAATTTAGAGGTTCTGTCTTATGTCATAAATAACCTTTATTGGTACAAAAGTTTATATATTGAGGGGCTATAAAGACTTCTTGTCTTTTAAGCCTTATTTACAAAGTTGTTGTTAATTGTTTTCTAATGTGCTTCATATTAGCTTGCCAGCAATAAGCAAAAATAAAGCTGGGACTGTGTCAAAAAAATTCACTGGCCCACATTCATCCTTCTTCAGCAGAGTTTACTCAATAGTGTTCCCCCTTCAGCTACTGTGCCAGCCAGCGGAAACAGCTAGTTGTTGTCTGAAATGAAGAATAATTGGAAACACGGTGCCTGTTTCTTTTCCTGCAAGTAACAATTCATCCATTTAACATTCTTTTGGTGTCCTTGAATTCTCTGCTAGACAGTGCTGTGTTCACTGTTCAGTTGAGGCCAATCGGAGAATTGCTGACCTTCTATCCTGCTGCTGACCCTCCCAAGGTGAAACAGTGACAGCCCACTGATGGCCTGGAGCTCTATCTAGAGTCCATTACATGTGGCTCTCACAGTTTTGTGTAGGAAAATGGACGTCAAGATGGAAAATGGAAGAATCGCAGTAAAGATAAAAGATTATATTTCTGGCTGTTATGGCCCCTACTATATATATAGATACAGAAACAATGCTCAGCAAGGTTAAGCAACTTGCCCAAGGTCAAACTGCCAGCAAGATGTAGAATAGACACGGTCTGGTTCCTGCACCGTTCCTGTGTACCTAACACCACAATATGCTTCCACAGAAAAAGACTGCAAATTATTCTCTTTTTGTAAGGTATAAGTTTGTGGTTTTTATACTGTTACTAGCCATACACATGTACTCATATATACATGCATGTATAATAAGCTTGTAGATTATATTATATATTATATTCATCTATATTTTTGCTGGGTTTTGGCTTCATATTCTATAAAATCATGAAAGAGGTATATTAATATCTATTGCTATGGCTGTCATTTTATCAAGCTATGCTTGTCTTTCTAATGGTTTGATTTTTTTTTTACAATTTGGTGGTATGTTTTTAGTGCATAATAGCTGACAACTATTTTTTAAAATTTATATCAGTACCACAGGAAATTGAGCTGCCTGTGTATAAAATGCTACCCAAATAATAGTGCTTTAAATAAATAGAAATGTGTTTGCAAACATTAAAGATGTTTGATGATAAGAAGTTGTGGGCTGCTGTTGAAATATTTACTGGGAGACTATCTTTTGCACCTTTTAAAGAAAGTATACCAGCAAGTAATTTTAGGATGCATTATTAAAGAAAGACACTGAGAAAAACAAACATTTTTTTTGCCATAAATATAAAAGCCACTGGGAAATTTTAGCATATTGACAAAGATATGACTTTGCACTGAATATAAGTTTTGGTCTTTAGAGATTACTAATAAAGTAAAAAGTTGCATTACTCTCCTTTGACAAATACATACATTTAAGCACAATGACAAAATGCAATACAAACTTCAAGGTGAACTTTGGAACTACATGGTCTTACTATGAATTAATGTGCCAAGCTTGTTAGTATTCCCAGCCAATCCCCAGATAAACAATGTTCCTGTTGTCTTGTGATTCTGGAATTATTTAATTGAAAATATGTGGGTTTTTGGTCTTGAATGAAGCATAAGAAATAAAGGAATCAATGATCTAAAAGAAAAGTTCAGGGTTGGCAAAGCAGTTTTATGGTTACCTGGAATGTAAGCTCCATCTGTCTTTCTGCTCTGCCATCTTTGGTATGTGTTCTCCAAATTATGGTTACAAAGTGGCTCCTGCAGTTCCTGCCATCACATACATAGTCCAGTCAGGAAGGAGGAAATACAAGAAGGTAGGAGTAGCTTCCCACTGGATTAGACTTCAGCAGTTACCATCTGTAACCTCTGCTTACAATTTATTGTCTACCAGAACTGCAAAAGAGGATGGGGGAATTAATTTTTTTTCATCTGGATACAATGCTGTGCCAAATTAAACTGAATGGCACTGAGTAAGCTTGCAGCAATCTCTGCCACGTTGCCTTTAATCATTTACCCTCTTGTTCCCATTTAGAGATTTGGGCCTTGAGTTTGTTTAGTATCGCCACTCCTGCTTTCGTGTTTGCCTGACCTCTATCTGCCCAACCATTTTTTTTTTCAACAGTGTTTGTTTTTTTTTTTAAAGATTTATTTATTTATGCATACAAGAGCTGGGGTACAGGCCAGAGATGCGGGGGAGGAGGGGTGAGAGGATTCACCAGAGACTGAATGGGGAACAGAAGAGGCAGAATGACTGAAATACACTGCTGAGGGGAGCAGCGGGCGAGACAGGAGAGGTCTGCTATGCCATGTGGGTTGCTCCTGGGCTGGCCGGGGATCCAACTGGTGCTGTAGAGGCTGAGGATTGCTTCATAGGATGGTGCTAAACCCCTTTTGCCACCAGGGAGGCCCCTGCCCAACCATTTATATTCACAACATCTTTGTCACTTTGAAGTCATAGCTGAGTTTGTTTTTTAGCCCCATCTGGAAGTTTGTCTTTTGAAAGGGAAATTCAACACAATCAAATTTGGTATTTTTATTTTTCCTACTTAATTTTTTTCATCATTGTTTCTTTTTTCCACATGTCCTTAGATTTTTTGGCTTGATCATTTTTTAAAAAGTTATTTCCCCCTGCTGTTGAATTATAAGTTTTCCTATGACCTGCTTACTTCTCTTAAATAAATCAATGCTTTTTCAGAATGAGTAGCCCATATGCCTGTATTGCAAAGGCTCGTTGTAAGAGGCTGAGGATGAAATACAATTTATTACTTCAATAGTGAGGTAACTTCATTGGCACCATGTAATTATTAAGGAGGTTTATTTTCCTCACTTCCTTTAACAAGGAGCTGGCAATGAGTATCTCACCCAATCCCAGGCGGATCTGAAATGGGCCCTGTTTTGACGAGGACACTCCTCTACGTGGCACTTCCAGCGTCCTTTCAGAGCCCAGCTGTTGGAGGAAAAAGGAAAGTCATTACCCTAGATCCTAGAAGTCCGCGTGAGGATGAACTATGATAAGTGCTCATCCTTACCTTTCTCCAAGTCTTCCCTGAATGCAAGACGAGTCATCACAGCTGATAAAGCAAATGCCGGTAATGAGAGGCTCTGCGGGCATTTTGTGAGGTGACTTCCCCACTGCCACTTGTTTTTAAAAGAAGTTTTAAAGCCTTTTTCCATGGAAGGTTTGACTTCTACAGAATTTCTTGCAGTTCTGTAAGGAATGTGCCTATGAAATTTAGTTTTGGATCATTTGGTGAAATTATTAAGCTTGTTTGAAACTTTCACATTTATATTGAATATATTACTTTTGAAAAGAGCCTCCTTTCTCTCATCTGGCTCCAAATTATACCTTCCACTTCATGCCACAGCAGTATGCTTGTTCCCATGAGCAATCAAGAATCTAAAAACAAATGAATGGTACAAGTGTTACCATCAGGTAGAGCTTTTTCTGTTTTCACTATGGGGAACAATAGAAAAGAAGAAAACAAAGTCTTGTTAAAGCCATATAACTTCTACCAAAGTCCATCATTCAAATTTATTTTGAAATAAATTTGAAAAATTATTTGAAAAATAATTATGAAAAATTAAAAAAATAATCATTGAAAAATTATTTTAGATCCCCTATGTGTATAAGTTGGCTACAAACTGGTATACATTTTTGATAAATCTTAGGACTATGCTATGTAGCTAATTGTACTCTGTAGCAGTTTATATAGCTCTATCTCATAAATTAAATAGCATATTGCATACAAGAAAGCCTTAGTATTAAAACATTTAGGGGCCTCTCTGGTGGCATAGGGAGTTAAGCACAGTGGGTTAAGCACAGCACTATGAAGCTATCCTCAGCCTCTGCAACACGAGTTCGATCCCCGGCGGGCCAGGATGCTAAACACAAGGTGAAGCAGACCTCTCCTGACTCTCCCGCTGCTCCCCTCAGCAGTATATTTCAGTCAATCGGCCTGTTCTGTTCCCCACTGTGTCTCTGGTGAATCCTCTCACCCCCCCTGCACCTCTGGCCTGTGCCCCAGTTCTTGTATGCATAAATAAATAAATATTTATTTATTTGTTTGTTTGTTTGTTTGTTTGTTTTGTTTATACATGCACTGGGTACAGTCAGAAGCGCGGGAGGGTGAGAGAATTCACCAGAGCCAGAGCGGGGAGCAGAGCAGGCAGAAGGACCCAAGTACACTGCTGAGGGGAGCAGCGGGCGGCAGGAGAGGTCTGCGCGCCATATGGGACCCTCCTCTGGTGGCCGGGGAGCAGCCGGGGATTGAACCGGCGCCGCAGAGGCCGCGGGCAGCTTCGCAACCCAGCGCTCAACCGCTGCGCCACCAGGGAGGCCCAAATAAATAAATCTTTAAAAAATATATTAAATCATTTGGGTTTAATATTTTTCTGTGGGGTGCTTTCTCCCTATAGTGTCAAGTGCGAGATGATCCCTTCCCAGTATCTGTCACTTACTACATATTGCTGGACAGAGTCAAAGAATCAGTTCTGTTGTCAGAAGTGCCTCCCTTTCCATCACTTCTAACTTCAGCAACATTTAAGACAAAGAGACCAAGACATAGTGTTATGGAAAGAGAATAATTGTTACGTTTTTTAAAAAAAGATTTATCCATCTATGCATACAGGATCTGGGGTGCAGGCCAGAGGTGCAGGGGAGTGAGAGGATTTACCAGAGACAGAGTGGGAAGCAGAACAGGCAGACTGACTGAAACACACTGCTGAAAGGAGCAATGGGTAAGTCAGGAGAGGTCTGCTGAGCCATCCCTGACTGGGGATCAAACTTGTGCTGCAGTGGCTGCAGATAGCTTCATAGGTTGTGTCTTAACCCCTTGCACCACCAGAGAGGCCCAATTTTACATTTTAAATCTATCCCTTTCTCTTCCTCTTCAAATATCCTCTCTATTCTTGTCAGTAAAAGGGCTGGCCTCATATTAGCCCCTGATGCAGAGAGATTTAAAGGGGAGAAAGAAATGTGTTAGATGAGGGGAAAAACAATCATTTTAGGAAATATATATAATCTAATTTGAATATTAAAATATATTGGGCCTCCCCTGGTGTCGCAGTGGTTGAGCGCTGGGTTGCGCAGCCTCTGCAGCACCAGTTCAATCCCCAGCCACCAGTGAGGGTCCCGCAAAAAAAAAAAAAAAAAAAGAGGCATCCCAAGGTTGACCACATATTGCCAGTTATTGAAGCTGAATAATGGGTTCATGAGGCTAAAAGTTGGGTTCATTTTTACTATTCTTTCTAACATGATTGAAACTAGGCATGATTGAAACTTTCCTAACAAAAGGCTTTTAAAAGAAAATAAAGGAGATTTCAGAAAATAGTTCTGGATTGGTTAAGTCTGAAAAAATGATTCATTTTTTTATGCCTCATAAGGAACATCATTAACTGTTTGTCAATGGGGTTTTAAAGTCGTCTGGATTCAATATGTCAGAAATATGCCTCATCTTTGTATATAAATTCTGTAGTTGACAGTCTGTGGTTGAACTTGGGAAAAAATAGACTTCCATAGCTTTCATGTAGCAATTAAAAATACTGAAATTTAACATCTTCAGTAAGAGAAGACAATATTTAATCGAAATAAGTTCATCAGTTCTCTAGCTATTTTTACTTTCATGGTATTTGCACCCAGAGCATTAGCTGAGGAATCAGAAGTCGATGTGAGTTAATGCCTAGAATGTACAATTCAGTTTGTGTCTTAGTGAGTCCATTTTTTCCCTCCAATTAAGTGAGAGAAACCCCTGAGACTAAACTTTATATTATCTAGAAGCAATTTGAGAAAAACCTATGTTTAAAAGAAGATTTTTTGTATGCAACATACAAAATTTTGTTGCCGACAGAAAACTGTCTTCTTTGCTAAGGACAAATAGAAAATAAAGACTATAAATAAAGGAAACATTCTAAAGTTCCGGTTCGTGGTATCATCTTTTCATTAAGTTTCCCATGTAAGGGGCCATGTGTTTCATTTTCTTTTCAGCTGGCCTTGGCTTAAAGCAGTCTGCCACTTTCATGTTTGAAGCCTGTGCTAGAATATAGAAATATGCATATGAGTGGGCTAATGTAGCCCAAGACAGGCTTTGAAACTCTAATGGGATACAAATGCATTGATCGCCAGGAGTCCTGTGTGAGATGTGACCATGGCATACTTTGTGACTTTTATGAGTTGGTTTGCTTAGAATCCATTCAAATTTTAAAGTAATCATGGGTGAAATGCACTAGGAGACACTGAGGGCTTTGCCTCTCAAAATTAAATCCTGAGAGGGCCTCCCCGGTGGCGCAGCGGTTGAGCGCTAGGTTGCGAAGCTGCCCGCAACCTCTGCAGTGCTGGTTCGATCCTCGGCTGCTCCCCGGCCACTGGAGGCGGGTCCCACATGGTGCGCAGACCTCTCCTGCCGCCCGCTGCTCCCCTCAGCAGTGTACTTCGGTCCTTCTGCCTGCTCTGCTCCCCGCTCTGGCTCTGGTGAATTCTCTCACCCTCCCGCGCTTCTGACTGTACCCAGTGCTTGTATAAATAAATAATAAATAAATAAATCTTAAAAAAAAATTAAATCCTGAGAAATAAAACCCCTAAAGGCACTGAATGAATGTAAGGGAGGAAGGGTAAGATAATATTTATCATTAAAAATCAATCAGCTGTGTACTGAATGCCTCTTCTAAAGAATTTTACATTTTAGTAGTTACCAAATCTTGGTTTACAAACTACTTCCACATACATTATTTTATCTTATACTTCGATTAAAACAGTGAGGGAAGGGGGGGAGGGGTGTGTGTGGGGGGAGGGGACAATCTTATGACAAAGAAATGGCATCTCTTAGAGACACGCTTCTTGAAGGTTTTACTACCAGATGAAGTAGGCAAGGGCCATTGAAATGACCCATGTCTCTAGAAATAGCCCTTTTCAGTGTCCTTCAGCCACCAACATTGTGCTCCCCCATTCTGTGTTTGATCTCATGGAGGTTTCAAAAGCAGTAGAGACATGAGTCCTGCCCTATGGAGCTGAATAAAAAAATGCAAGTTTTACATAATGAAACAAGCAGAGAATGATTAGATGTTAAACAGTATGAAACTGGCTATAAATACAATAACATTTGGATTATTTTAAGACAAGAAGGTGCTATAAATTCTACTCAAGCTCTGAAAAATGCATTTGCAAGTTTTCAAGAACATTGGTCAATCTGTTTCTTGAGCCTTCCAGCCAGGTGAGGGTTCCCTGGATTTTTGATGGGGAGCAGCACCTGTAGAGTAGAAAGTGGGAGACACTACCTTCCCATACCTTACCTTGAACTTGCAGGTACAATGACAGCTCTGTAGTGACACAGGCTTCTAAGAGCTGATTTTTGAATCTTTGAATTCTTAGTGGCCTCTGTTTGTGCCTCAGACTGAGAACTGGAAACATGTGGGAGCTAGTTGGGACACTGATACATCTTGTTCAGTCCTCTAGGCCATAACTGGAGGCTGAAGAAAACTGCCAGAGGCACAAGAATGAGACATTTGTTCCACATTCAGAGGGAAAGTGAACTTCAAGGGTCTGCTGGGACTCTGTGATCACTTTTATTTTCTGATTTTCTAATACTCTAACCTAAAACTTTCCAAACCCATGTTTGTTTCAGAAGCAAAATTCTGCTGGAAATATCTGTTCTTTCTTTTTCAGCAGAGCCAGTCCCTGCCTCTGTCTCCCTACTGAGTGGCATTTTGCTTAGGAGCCCCCAGGGCTTAGTGACTGGTAGTAATCCAATGCACATGTTGGGCCAGATAACCAGCATTATAGATATCCCTATGTAGTCTTCTTCAAAATGCTAATTTGCTTCATTGGAAGAGTGTCCATTGGAATAGGCCAGCATGGACCCATCTGCTGTATAATTCTGCTTGCCACCAGGGAAGAGTCAAAACAGAAGTCACACGCTGGTTGAGTTGTGTTAGGGTAGCTCCTGAAGCATCACTGCTGCTTCCCCCCACTGCCCCCCAGAGGAGGAGAAGGCATGGAGAAATCAGCATGGAGTTCAAAGTATAACCGTAATGTTCTGTGTGTAAATGGGAAGGTAAGTGTGCACTTTGGAGGTACTGTCAACACACCCAATAACACTGCTTGTTTGTACTGAGTAACTGAGTGTAAATGTGAACACAATTCTGATTCTAAAGCCCAAGCACATAACTGTTTCTGCCAGACCACCCATGTCCTCAAAGATGCGTACTTTAAATTACTTTTCCAGGCTTGGCAATGGATTTATGTTGAGTCACTAAAGCTTTGATTTCATCTAGTGGTTATGAATATGGACTCTGGAACCAGCTCTGTTACATACTGTCCATGTGACCTTGGGCAAGCTACTTAAAAAATTCTCTTCCTTAATCCCCCGTTTGTGAAATGGTGATGATTATAGCTACCTCATAAAGTTGTTGTTGGGATGAAATAAATGGAGACGTGTAAATAGCTTAGAACATTGCCTAGCATGTATTATGTGCGTGCAAGAATTAGCTGTTTTCTTTCATTCATCTAATACTAATTTAAAATCTCTGCTCCAGGTGCTGCTAGGTGTTGACAAGTAAAAACAAAATAGGACACAGTATGTGCCCACAGTATGTTTATCCTCGAAAGTATAGGCTTGCGTTTTAGTTATCTTTTCTACCTAACACAGTAGTTGGGAGGTACTCAATGTTTTTCAATATATGATTGGACAGAGGGAACGGGCAAGTATACCGATAATTTCAGTGAAATGACTGTATTTTAACAGTGCCTGGCACACAGTAAGTGTCTGGTACCATATAAACATTCACATTTAAATTATTAATTTAGTAAAACGAATGCTGAGACTGAGTGTGCCGACTGGAGGTTGAGGGCGAGGAGGTGGAGGTGCACTCGGGGAAGTCTTCCAAGAGGCAGTATCCTTGAGCTTAGTTTTGATCAGCGAGTAGGCGTTAGCCAGTAAGAGAAGAGGGCTAAGTGTGTTCCAGGCAGAAGGAACATTGTGTGCAGAGCTAGAGAGGCGTGAAATAGCACAATACATTCAGGGAGCTCCAAGTCGGCAAGTACGACTGGAGCCCCGTCCTCACTGTGACATACAGGCGTACATTTTTGAAATGAGTATTTGAGATGAGAGTCTGTGAAATGAAAGAAAACAAAGGAGACGTCACTTGTGTCACCCTGGCCTTTAGCATTAACTAAATAACCAGTCCCTGACTGAGTGGCTAGGGAATTACAAATTGTTGGGTGGAGTGCTTGCCTTGGTACGAAGGCCGTTAGTCTCTGAACAGCCTTGCTTTAAAGTGAGTTCCTTCTTGTCTTCTGGTTGAGGAAGTAAATTCCTTTAATTTATCTGTTTTTTCCAAGTAATTGAGATGAATCATAAATACGTTGGTGGGATCATAGTATAGATGAAGATGTTTTGTGCATAGTAACAGAGATTGCTCTAGATCAAGGCTTAGCAAACTCTGACTTATGGCCCAAACCCTATCTACCGCCTGTTTTTGTGATTAAGTCTTTTTGGAACACAGCCATGCCCATTTGTTTACATGGTGTCTGGGGCAGCTTTAGCACCACAACCACAGAGTTGAGCAGTTGTGACAGAGTCTGTATGGCCTGCAAAGCCTGAAATATTTACTAGCTAGCTCATTACAGAAAGCATTTGCCAATCCTGCTCTAGAATCATCTCTTCTAATCTGATAAGGAAAAACTATCTAAATATTTAAAACAAGAACCAACATGGCAAAACTGGAGGTTGTTAGAATTTTAAAATTCACTATCAAAGAGAAAGAAGATGGCAAATATATTCACCATGGGGGGATGCAATAAACATGCATCAATGAATGAACATAGATTCCATGATTGGCCTTCAATTTTATTCGAAGCTTCCTGGCAGTCAGGAAAATTAAAAAGGGAATCGGTCATCTACATTAGTTACCTATTTCTTCATAACAAACAAACTTAAAACTTAATGACTTAAAATACAAGTCATTTGTTTTTCTCATGAGACTATGAGTTGGCAGAGTTGTTCTTCTCATCTGGCCAGGACCCAGCTGATCTTGGTGGGCTTGCAAGGCATTTGTGGTCAGCTGGGCCCTGCTAATCTTGGTGGGTTTGCACAGACATTTGTGGTCAGCTGTGCCCAGATGATCTTGGTGGGCATTTGTGGTCACTGGCATATTAACTCTGGGCTGGATGGTCTGGAAATGACCTCATCTCTGTTGTACATGATTGCTCATTCTCAGGCAGGTTAGCCTAGACTTGTTCATGTAGCAGTGGCAGGGTCCAAAAAAGAAAGTGGTAGCATACGCTTGAAGCTCAGGCTTATAGCTGGCAGACAATTACTTCTATTGCGTTGTAATGGCTAAAGCAAGTCAAGCAACTCACCCAGATTCAAGGGATGGGGAAATAGATTATAACTCTTGATGGGAGGAGCTACAAAGTCACATTGCAAGAGGTAGGGAAATAGGAGGGAAAGAATTGAGGTATCAATTGAAAATAATCAGTATTGAGAATAGCATGTATTCTAACCATACAAATTTTTTGTAAAGTCATCTCTGTGGTCTGAAGTGGAAAGGAATAGGGGCCTCCCTGGTGGCGCAGGGGTTAAAGTCTCAGTGCTATCAAGCTATTGCCAGCCACTGTGAATGAGTTCAGTACCCCGCCATGTTGCTAATCCATGTGGTACAGCAGACCTCTCCTGTCTCACCCACTGCTCCCCTCAGCAGTGTATTTCAGTAGATATACTTGTTCTGCTCCCCACTCTGTCTCTGGTGAATTCTCTCACTCCCTGAACCTCTGGCCTACAGCCCAGTTCTTGTATGCATACATAAATAAGGATAAATCTTTAAAAAAATAAAGTGGAAAGGAACAGTCACCATACATCAGTCTATTCAACCCCACCCACATATATGAGTCATCAGTGTCTTCAACTAAGTGGACCCATGTCTAGCTAATGACAGATACAGAGGAGTGGAAAGAAGCTTGTCAGAATGTGATACATGTCATCTGAGACCAGACCCATAATAAAATACTATGTTGACGGATTTCACCAGGGAATCAGACTGGGTTTTAATGGGTTAAGAGAATAAAGACAAGCATTATGCTATATGACCAAACTAAACATTAGCCTAAACAGACCTGCAATATTCTTGCTGACCATTCCCATTCACCTCCACTTCCATTATCAGGTGGCATAAAACTGATCACTCTATATACATTGATGTCTCTGGATGTGACTGTGATTTAAAAGATAGAGAATAAACATTCTTTTTTTTTTAAACTCATTACCATGTGATGATTTTTTAGAAAATGATTGCTGGAATATCTTCATTAATACTAACCTTGCCTCAATAAATAATGTTAAGTATAAATAGCACAGTGATGTAAAAAATCCTCCTTAACCATGGAAATGCAGATTGCTACAGGACCTACTAGTTGGGAATTCATCCAAAATAGAGTAAGTTTGCCCTGGAGCACTCAGAGAAATCTTTGTAGAGACAGGAAGTGGAGAGTGGATGGATACAACTTTGGAGCAGGAGGTAGTGAGTTCTGTTGCTGGAAAAATCAAGAAGGCTGTCAGCAAGAAAGTATGAAGAAAGTCAACATAAGTAGCCTTTGTTCCTTACAGTCATTCAGAATCCCCCAAAAGATGAAAAACAAAACTCCCACCCAACGTAGACAAAACCACATGACCTAGTTTTTGAGGACATTCTCTCTGACTTGTGTCAGTCAGGGGGCTTGGCCTATTTCACAAGAAGCCACCGCCCCTACACGTATCCTTCCTAGGTGCTGCCTCCATCAGACTTCTGTAGTAGTAGCAATAGTGCATGGGAGGAACATGACAAGATTTCAGGAACTATTAGACGCCTGTTGACTCAGACATTGGGACCCACTGTGAATGGAAATATCTTTCAGCTTAGGTGCAGTGAAAAGGAACTGAACTATTGACATTATTGAAGAGGAGGAGACAAAACTCCCAGGATGCTTGCAGATGACTTGTTTCTGGGAGGGTTGGGGGAGGTAGGGATGTCTCGGGAAAAGCAAATCAAGCTTCCAAAATTTTGGTGCAGGAACTCAGATGTTAACCTTGGGCAGGTTACATAAAGGTTAAATGCTATCAAAGGTATAAATACCTAACTATACCTCCCTTTATGTAGAAGAGTAGCTTTCAACAAATATTGGTTCCTTTCCTCTCTCTGCATCTCCCACCCACCTCAGGGAGTTATTAAAAAAAAAAAAAAAGACCTGTCAGCCAGCTGCCATTGGAAAGATGTCAGATAGGGCAAATTGCTGATAGGTGGTAACAGTCAAGAAAATCCACGTTCATGTGGTAGAACAGAGCATGTCACGTCTGCTGCCCCTCTCCTCCTCACAGCTTAAAGTCAGCGTAAGACATTCCTTCCTTTCTGCCGAGGAAGTGAGTGTGTTCTCTCAGACCTACCTTGGCATTCCTTGATGTCTTAGAGAAGCAGATGACCCCGGCTGAGCAAGACTGTCAGCAGAACAGCAGCCCTTGATGCTGCAATTGGAAATTTCCATTCTTTGCTTGCAGCTCTGAAAAAAAAAAAAAAAAATCTAAAGAGCCCAGTAGCTGGGAAATTTCCACGATGGAAAATTTTAACATATTCTTTAGCTCTAAACTATGCAGGTTTATAGAGACTATTTTTTTTTCTTTTGGTAATTTCCTTCTTTAACAATAATTTATGAACATGGTAACACTACAGCTGTGGAAATAAGGAGGGCAAGATGACTTGGGGGGGGGATGGGTACAGTTTAGCTACTGGGCGGTTGTACTATAAACATCTTTGACCACCCAAACCATAGAAATCCAGATCACTACAAAACCCACTGGTTGGGAACTCATCCAAAATAGAGCTAGTTTGTCCAGGATCACTCAGAGAAATCTGTGTAGAGACTGGAAGTGGATGGATACAACTTTGGAGCAGGAGATGGTTAGTGCTGTTGCTGGAAAAATCAATCTCAGGCAGATCTCTTCGACCATGGTTTTAAACATAAAGGTGCACAGGAATCACCTGGGAATCTTGTTAAGAAGCAGATTCTGACTCAATAGGTCTGCACTGGGACTGAGACTATTTCTAACTGGCTTCCAGGTGATGCTGAAGCCACTCTCCTCAGTGCCACACCTTATGAGGCCAACAGGTCCTCATCACTATGAGGTCAACGTTGCCTTCAGTAGCAAGACACAGGCAAAGGGAGGCCAGAAGTGAGTTCTCTTGGGGTTGTTTTCTCAGGTTACAAAGCTAAGGTCTAAGAGTAGAACTGAATGTCTTCGGGAATGATGCTTCACGCAAGTCTGGATAGGATGGATCTTTTGAAATGTGGGGATGTGAGCAGTTACCAGTGACCTGCCTATTCTAACAGGTTCAATTTGGCAGTTTGTAGAACTCAGTGGCTTTTCAGAGTAATCCCTATGATAAGCTATGAAGATTCCTAAGGTGGGCTTGCCTTTTGAGTGACATGTCAGATGAAACACAAAATGACCCAAATCCAGTTGTTGAGGGAAGACAGTTGGCCATAATGTGTAAAGGGGGAAAAGAATTCAGGAAATAAATTGCTTCCATCCCAGTCAGAATAATTGTCTTACATTAATTTAAATTAAATAAAAAGGGAATAGGAGAATTTTCCATTTTACTTAATAACTATCTCACCTTTGTGCTATTCATGAGAAGGGAGGGGAGGGAAAGAGTGGGGAGATGAGAGGGGAGGAGAGGAACTCAAAATCCAATCTTTGGCATCTTTATTCCAGGGTGTTCCCTCCAATTGATCTGTAATGCATTTGCTCTGTGTGTCTTTAAAACAACATTTGTCCTATTTTTCATTTTCCATTTGATTGAGTTCTGGATGGGTTATTACTACTTACTTTTCAAATTAAAGTAGACAGAGGAGCATATGGGGGAAAGGAGGAGGGAGATAATCATCATGAAAATGCGGTGTTGAAATCAGAGTATAACAAGCATGAAATGAACTTGATAATAAACAGTATTAAAATATATATATCAAAAGTAAATAGTTCTGGTACCGTAGTATCTACATAATATTTAGAAAGTCTAACTGGCTTCAGGATTGTGTAGGGATTTGGATTTCTAGAGGTTGGTCGACATCTTCCATTTGAAAAATCTTCATTGTGGGGTTAAGGTATGATTTAGCATTGAAACAGGATTCCTGATTACTTAAGTTAAAGAGTTACTTGGTTTTTTCCTACTATAGGGCTCAATTATTCACCTATGAATCATCTTTTTTTAATTTATTTTATTTTATTTATATAAGAGCTGGGGTACAGACCAGATGTGCAGGGAGGGTGAGAGGATTCACAGAGACAGAGCAGAGGACAGAACAGGCAGATTGATGAAATACACTGCTGAGGGGAGCAGCGGGCGAGACAGGAGAGGCTGCTCAGCATGTGGGATGCTCCAAGGCCGGCGGGGATCAAACCGGTGCTGCAGAGGCTGCGGACAGCTTCACAGCGCTGCGCTCAAATGCCTGCGCCACCAGGGAGGCCATCATTTTTCATTGTTGCACAATGCATGCATTTTCATTTTGGTTATATTCCCCATACAATTCCCACCCCCCTTATTTTGACCCTAATCCCACCTCTCCTCCTCTACTGCCCCCGTAGTGTGTCTCTGGTTTATAGTTGCTTGTTGATTTTGATTTTTTCTTTGTTATAGTCTTTTTCCTGGTCCCTTATTTAGGTTTTCTAAACCATCTTAAAACTTATGGCCAATCATATAGAATATACTTGTTCTATCTTAAGTCATAGTCTCTTAATAATAAAGTTAGCATTACTGATTGCTTACAGCAGGGAGGCATTATATAACAGACTTATAAGATGGGACCCATTGTTATATAGGTGAGAAACTGCCATTTAGAGAGCTTAAGTAAATTGCCTTGGATCCATACATGATGACTGATCACAGAATAACCTTCTTTGGCCAGCCCCATTTACCTTTTTCCAAATCCCACAGCTACATCTCAGTTTCATTTCCCTTATCACAGACAGATGGATAGATAGTCCTTCTCAAGTTTAACAACTTCACAGAGCTTGATTCAAATACTGAATGTTGTTAGTTGCTTACAGCTGCTATTTCTCTAGCAGTGCTCTAAGTCCAGGCAAACTCTTTTGAAGAGCTCATTAAAACTGCTAAAATAAAGTCTTAGAAGCAGGTGCATTCATTAGCTGAAATGCAGACGATTATGTTAATATCACATTCAGGTGACAAATTTAAAGCCATCAAAATCATGGAGGATAAAAGGATTTTCAAAGCTAAAGTTAACTTCTTCCTTTGTGAGGCTCTTTGCTCTGTTAAACATGTGACTGCCTGTGCAGCTGTCAACATGGGCACCTCCAATGTTACTTCACAAAAATAACGTCGTTTTTGCAGTATCATATTTCCTTTACAACTTCTTGGGTCTCTATTCTGGAAAAGAAAGGTAAGGAATTGCCGACAACCCCAGTGCTGTTTCGAAGTAGGAAATATGGCACCTCATTTGCCATTTATTTTCAGGTTGGGATCAAGGGTAGTGGGGAAACGTTAAAGAAAATGGTTAAATTCTGTGGATGGTGATGCCAGATTTGGATCAGATAAACCAACAGCTCTTTCACGTAACCGTTTTTTGTTTGTTTGTTTGTTTGTTTGTTTTGCTCAGGTGAATATTGACCATGAAATATGTACATGACCATCCATATGGATTTAGGAGGCTATAAATCAGATGTTAGTAATAGTTACACCAGGATGATTTTGATTTTCTATTTTTTGTATATTTTTATATTTCTCAAATTTTCTACAATGAGTACATATTAATCTTTACATTTAAAAACCAGTATGGCATAATTAATCTCTCCACATGCAGTTTTTTTTCACCTTTAAGGATATCTTACCATTTAACTGCTTAGCACATAGCAACTGGACGAAATGTTTCTCTAAAGTCCTTTCTTCTCAAATCTGGGACATTGACTCTTCCTTTCAGGAGAAAATATAAGAAAAAGAGTACTAGGTATCCAACCACTTATAAAAAAATTATAAACATGCTTCAAGATTTTTATGTCATTTTTCAGAACCTCAATCAAGTGTGCATTAATCAAAATGATTGCATCTGCCACTTGCAAAGGAAAAAAATGAACAACCTTTTTAGGTTAAATTTATTTATTTATTTTTAGTTACATATGCTGGAAAGTCTTTGTAAGTTAATGTTTGACACTTTTTTTTTCAAATGCTGTGCTACAATGATTGTATTTGATTGCAAAATTTAAATAACAAAGCTGCTATATATGCAAACCCATCTATTTCTAGGGCATGTTTACAAATAATGTGTATGTGTAAATAGTTTGAATTAAGAAATTGAACAAGTGCTCAAACAGTGTAAATAGTCCTATTTTTGCCTGACTTCCTCTTCAACTCTTGTTCTGTCTTGCCCTGTACATAATTACTTTCTCTTTTTCCCTACACACTTAAAAGGCCATTGACTCCATTTAAAATGAGAAGCATACAGAAGCAGGAAACATCTCTTTCTACATACATTTCCTGGTCAACAGTGGCCTCACTGAATCCCTGCTTTAGATTCCCATAAGTCTCATTAGTTGGGACTTACATAGGGCGCGGACCATTCCTTCCACTGCTGGACAGCTCCGAGTGTTCTAAGACTACTTTCCCACCACTCACTCCATCTCCTGTTTAATTCTCAGGGCTGCCACCTGCACAAAATCTGCAGGTTCAAGACAAAATGAAGAAAGAAGAGACTTCTGTCCTTCCAATATGGTGCATCTGCACCATAAAAGATAAGGGGGTAAACTTCAGAGCACAGAATTGAAAGAAGAGAGGAACTTGAGAGGTCGCTTTAGTTTTCTTTAAATGTATGTGTCTTCTCTGGAGTATACTTACAGTCATCCAACCTGACCTTAAAATTTTGTAATAATGAAAACTGTCCTATTTTTTCACCTTTATGCTGATACATGGGTAGATAAAAAGCACAAATAGCATTACAACCAGAATGCCAAAAAGGAAAAAAAAAAAAAAAAAGGAATTATTCGTAATCCTACCACCCTTTAAAAAATCAACTATTTTTGAATTTCTGTTACTAATCGAGGATCCCCTAGTCTCAAGTAAATATAACCTTTAAGTTCCGTGAGAAATATAAAGAGACTGAATATATCATTTGGCTTAAAGACACTGGAGATTTTATTAGTCCATGGTGTCCATCACACCATGAGAGTCAGACTCTGAAAACTATGCAAAGACTGTATAACCTCTGCCAGAAGGGAGGGTGGGGTGGGAGGAAAGGAGGTACGGAACACAGTGGATGGGTTTGGGGGACGATGTGTGCCTTGATGATGGGTCTGGTATGGTAGTACACATCTGAAGAGGTGTGAACCTCCATCCCTAAATCATATATGGTGTTACCTCAATAAAAATAACATCATTAACAAAATGACTTTATAATCCTCAATACCACAGCATTTCTAATTCATTCCCATCTGTCTCTTCCTAATTTACCCCCCCCCCTTTTGTTACTCTGACAACTATGCAACAAAAGAAAGTTTCTGAGAAGATCTTACTGGGGAAGCTTTCCAACATTTAAAAATACTAAGTTGAGCAATGTGTTTCCAAGTTACCTTGTACACATAATGGTATTCCCTTCAAAGGAACTGGGGGTCTTTGGCAAGTATTCTGAGACAACTGCATGTGACAAAACAAAGAATAAAAATAAAGAAAATCCTTCAAAGATAATGTGCCTTTTGGAAGCAGTTAGATAGCTCATCTTTTCACCTTGGCTAAATGGGAGATTCTTTTAAAATATGTTCTGATGATGAAAGTGCTGTTGAATTTTGGGAAAGCAAATTCAGATAATCTAGTAAATTAAGAGAGCAGACAGAAGATGGTGAACTACAATTTTGGCTACATAAATTGAAAAGAATTTTTTTTAGAAAATGATTATTATCCTAATGAATTGTCAAAAAACTATTTGAAAAAAACTTCAAACAACACAAAAGAATATAAGGAGACAAAAAAAATCTCAACCCATCCTAAAAATAACCATCATAGATGTTATGGAAGTATCAATCCAGATACAGAAATAAGTATTTTAGAATTTTAAAATGTGACTTGCACTTTTGCAGATGGGAATCTACAGCTAAATATTGTCTCGCTGATGATGGTTTAAAAACCTGAATTTTAAAAATTTCTATTTCATCTGAAAAGTGAAGTGACGAGAAAGGGTAATTATAACAATGTAAGTTCAATAGAAATTAGTAGATATTTTTATTTTCATTGACATATCCACAATCTGACCCTTGATTCAGCTGCATATAAAACAAATTACATGGCTATAATAAAAAGACAAAAAGTAACAAGTGTTGGTGAGGATGTGGCAAAAAGAAAATCCTTGTTCACTGCTGGTGGAAATGTAAATTGATGTAACCACTATAGAAAAACGTATTGCTGTTACTCAAAAACTTAAAAATAGAAATACTATACGTGATATAGTAATTCCATTTCTGGGTATTTACCCAAAGAAAACAAAATCCTGACTCAAAATATACGCAACCCCTCCCCCATATTTATCGTTGCATTATTTACAATAGTCAAGACATAGAAGCAACTTAGGTCTCTCTCTCTCTCTTTCTCTCTCTCCACATACACATGCATGCACACACACATATTTCTTTATCCACTCATATATAATGGAATATTATTCAACCATAAAAAATAATGAAATCTCACCATTTGCAATGATGTCGATGGACCTTAAGGGCATTTTGTTAAAAGAAACAAGTCATAGAGAGAAAGACAAAAGCCAGATGATCTTACTTACTTGTAGAATCTAAAAAACAAACAAAAGCCGACTTCCTAGATAGAGAGAACAGATTGGTGGTTGCCAGAGACAAGGGTTGGGGTATGGGTAAAATGGGTGAAGGTGTTCAAAAAGTACAAACTTCTAATTAAGCAATAAATAAGTCATGGGGGTGTAATGTATAGCACAGTGACTGTAACTAATCATACTCTATAGTACATTTGAACATTGCTACGTAGATCTTAGAAACTCTTATCACAAGAAAAAAAGTATAACTACATTTGGAGATGGATATTAACCAGACTTATTTTGGTGATCATTTTGCAATATATACAAATAGCAAATCATTATGTTATTCATTTGAAACTAATAATATAATGTTAAATATCAATTATAGTTCAATAAAATAAATAAAATATTACAGTGAGATAATGTTAACATAATGTTTTCAGGTTTATTTTTTAAAAAAGACTTATTTATGCATACAAGAACTGGGGTGTAGGCCAGAGGTGCAGGGGGTGAAATGATTTACCAGAGGCAGAGAGGGGAGCAGAACAGGTGGATCTACTGAAATACACTGCTGAGGGGAGCAGCAGGCGAGACAGGAGAGGTCTGCTGTACCCCTTTCAGGTTTATAAATCAAGTTTATGCTGATTCTTAAGACCATATAAAATAATCAGGTTTGATATTTAGCTGGTACATACTTGTTTGGCCATTCCAACTGTTTATGATTAGGCATCCACTCTGTTGTACCAGTTGTTACTGTCTGTCACATCAAGATCAACTTTCCTGGAGCCACGTTTTATTGTTTTAACTTTTTAATCTTCAACGTTTTCTTAAATGTGTTACTTTTAACCCCACTTATTTATTAGTGAACTTATACCATGTTATTCCTTCTCTTTTAGAGGTGAAGTAGTTTTTACTTATTTGTTTTTTTTTTTAATGAATAGGAAAGATTAAAATTCCTCCCTCTCTGCTCCAAACATACCTTATTAAACTCACATTTGGGCAAAGATTTTACTGGAAATTTTCAAACTGGAAGGAAATTTTGCTTTTATGTTGCAAAAATCAGGGACATTATGGTATCCATTATCTGTGTTAAATTTGGGGAACATGGATACTGATTATACAAATGGCAGATTATCCCAGTTATTTCCATTAAAATTTTTTATGGTAGTTCTCCCCTCCTACTTACATTAATGCTAATACCAAATTAGATATCATTTTCTGACTTACTCACCAACTTACATTGAGAAAATGCAGGTCAAATAGGTGGAAGAAGAAAGTCCATATTTCCTTGGTAACCACATATTACAATTGAAGGTAATTGCTTAATCAAAAATATAGATCTTCTGTGCAAAAGTAGCTCTGCATTGCATCTCATAAACACTAGAACGTTAGACCACCACATCATTTTTCCTGAAAAAAAAATGCAAATACCTCCTGTACATTAAATGATATTTTTTCATATCCTTAAATATTGAATTTAAAGATATAATTTCCTTTTAATTGATCCTTAATGGAGAGTGGCACTTGGCCAATTATTTACTATTGAAACTTATGCATTTGGAGCAATAGGCCCAAAGTCAATGCTACTTTGTTTTTATTTCTTTTGTATATAGAGATCAGGAGACCCATTCTAAGTGGACACAAAAATACTTCTCACTCCAGAGTACCTCCTCCTTCCCAAAATTCACTGTGGCCACCTCCATTTTTTGATGTTTGAAATATCATACTTCACTAATCCTCACTAAATTAGACACAATAGGGAAAAGGGCCCATCTGAATTAATTAAAATTTTGAATGCTCTATTCTATTACCAAAGTACAGTTTTGTCCCTTTATGGTATAATATGCAGTTCAAGCAGTCTGAGCTGTGTTGAAGAAGAAAGCCTTCTGCTAGGAAAACTTAAAATAAGATTCTTTAATATTGTGCACTTTAAAATGAATGTTGCTAGGGTATCTGAATATATTTAATTCACATTCACTGAGCAGTTACTATACGCTAGAAAAAAATTTTGTCTCTCGAGTTAACAATTCACTAAATTATCATTCATTTTGCCTAGTGACACTGTTTCTCATGCTTTATTCAGCACTTGTCTAAATATACTTGTTTCTTCAAAATTTAACAGTTCTAATGGATAAGGCACAGGCATAAATTAAAAATGACTGGGGTGTCAGGATGAAAGTCCTTTACCATGTGACCCAATACCGATCAGTCAGTCAACCTGCAAACCCTGTGTTCGAGGTAAAATGGCTTAGTTAGGGATAGTTTCACAATCTTGGCACTATTGACATTTGGACTGGATAATTCTTGTTATGGAGTTGTTCCACGCATTGTAGTGTGCTGAGCAGCATCTTTTGCCTCTTTCCATAAGACACCAATAACATCCCCACTTCTAGCTCTGATGAACAAAAATGTTAGTAGACCTGGCCAAATGTCCCGAGGCTAGATGTAAGGGGCCAATATTGCCCCTGGTTGAGAACCACTGAGCTAGTAGGTTCATCCTACTTTCTTTACTAGGTTATAAAGACTGGGAGGGCAGAGACCCAATCTGATTCATTACTCTCCCACCCCATCCCCACCAACTAAATTTAGTTTCTGGCAGAGAAATGCTTCTTGATGAATGTTCTGAAAAGAACAAAATATCTCCGGAGTACATGTAGTGTCATCATCCCTGCACAAAGTACTTTGGTAAACTCAAAAATGAATACAGTAAGTGAGGTAAATCATCTAACAAAGTTTTATACTTTGAATTATCGCTCCATGTTCATATGATATACCCGCTTTGCTGTCAGATGCCCATGTGCGCAGTGGGCATTATTGTGTGTGAAGCACATTCACATAACAGCATTTGATCTGGACATGAAGATCATCCTTTTGGCCACCTCTGTTTATAATTTAAGCTCCTCAACCCCAGAACCATATTCTCAGGCAGGAGTGGGAATTATTATGATTTCTGTGGCATTGCCTTTGGTTATTAAAGGGAGCTTTTAAGACTGGCTTTGAATGTTAAAGTTCAGGATTCTTTTTTGCCATGTTAGAAGTAGAACATCCAAAAGGCTCTCCAGTGATCTAAGTGATTCTGGTTTACTTAGATTCCTGGAAATTGCCAGAGGGCTTTAAGGGAGGAGGGAGAAAAAAAGAGTGAGGAAATTTTCCCTGTGGGCAATTGGGGAAAACAAAAATATTTTTGTGCCGTGGAGGCTTCTCAGGAAAGGAGGATTGGCCGGCAGGGCATCTGCGCAAGGGGAATTTCCACATTTGGGAAAACATGGTCATAATTAATGACTTAGGAAAGCCAAGAAAATGGACCATGTTGGAAAAATATGATCTTCAATGGCCAAGTCATTGTCAAATGATTGGGTCATAAAATTGGATTGTTTTAGAAAGAGATTTTTATTTGTGGATATTTGCCTACAGGTCCATCTTTCTGTGCATCTAATAAGTACCTTCCCTTGCCTGGGGAATCAGCTTCCCACAGTCAGACCCACTCTCTCTGTCCCTCCCTGCCCTAAGGGAGTGTTTGCATTAGACTTCTGGTCTCGACTCTGGCCTGTAGTCTTTTGCTTTGAACACGGTGCTTAGGACTAGCCAGCAGGGCTATTAGCATCCATTAGAAGAGGGATGATTATCCACGATTCTTGGACAAGGGCGGAAGGATGAGAGATGAGATTGCAGGATTGTAATCGGCCACAGGTTATTGAGAGTACGAAGAAATGTTGAAAAAGCTATGCTGACTTAAACATGAGGAAACTGAGGCTCAGGGAATTTGAGTAATGTGCCTAGAGTCATACAGCTTTTAACCACTGTGCTATATATATTTCTTCCATCTCTTCGTCCAGTGTGTATAAAGTGAGACATTCCTCCACTGAAATGTTCTCACCCTGAGTACAACCTCTGGCTTACTTAACTACTCCCTTCCTCTTCCCCAGATCTCTTTGTTTACACTAGACCTAGTTCTGAGGTTGTGTTCATGGAGAAATTCACAGTTGCCTGCCATTCTCAGGAGGACAAATCTGGGTTAGCAGGCTCAGCTCCATTCATGTTTGTTTACTTGGGGCATGATTATGTAGTCAGAATGTTCTTGCCCCACTTTCTGGTTTTATTTTATCTCAGGGATCAATTTTATTAAAACAGGTATGATCATGTTTTGCCTCTTCCCTCATATATGTCTCAAGTTCAGAATATAACTGGCTGAATTTCAGCCTGTTTGCCAAAAGGAAGGTCATATTATTAGAGAGGGAAATTTAGCTAAGAAAAATACATCCCTGAATTTGATATGTAGACACAGTATCCAGCACAGCATCTATGAAACACAGCACATTGTTTTGTGAAATGAAAAAAAAAAAAAAAACTGCAGGCTAAATCACATCCCCCTGAAGCAACAAGTAGATGCTCTATCCCCATATGACGTAACTTCTAAAGTTAGCCCTGGCCTGCAACGATAGTACCTATGAGAAAACAAACCCAAGCAGGACGAAAGACTCTAACTACCCTGGGTGACCCTCCATGGGCATTATAAGTAATTAAAGAATCAGCACATTTGAAATAATTTAATGCCATTTCTTTTCTGTTGAACTTAAAACATATTAATTCCATCTTATTAACATTTGTTTTCTGAATGTTTCTTCAAGAGGTGAAAATTAACAAACTTAGGGCTTGCAGCACCATATTATTTATTAGCTCGCCATTCTAGAGGCCTGGAGTCTAGGTATGCCTGGTTGGGCTCTCTGCTTAGGGTGCCACCATACAAAAATCAAGATATTTGTCAGGCTGGACTCTTATCTGCAGACTCTGAGAAAGAATCTGCTTCCAGGCTCATTCACACTTTTGGTGGAAGTCAATTCCTTGAGGGTGCACACTGAGGTTGCTGTATTCTGTCTGGCTATCAGCCAGGAGCTGCTGCTCTCAGCTTCCAGAGGCCACACAGAAGCCTGCTCGCGTGGTATTGTCTTCAAACCAGCAATCTCCCTCGAATCTTTTGGACATTTGCAATCTCTTTCACTTCCTCTTTTGCTACCAACTGAGTAAAACTATTCTTGTAAAGGGCTCACCTGAGTGGACCAGGCTCACTGGATTATCTCGGGATCTTAAAGGAAACTGACTGGAAACTTTAAGTTTGACCGCAAAATCCCTTCACAGCAGTACCTAGCTTAGTGTTTGACTGAATAGCCAGGGATGGGAATCTTGGGGAAGCTGTCTTTAGAATTCTGCCTACAACAAGGAAATAGAGTTATCCAGTTAAAGTGGGCTATGATTTGGAAATAGGTTCCTAAGAGTATGGAGTCAAATCATTTAATTATTTTATTCTATTCTTTTAAATATATATATATATAAATGCATGATTTATTTTTTAATATACATATTTTGGGGGTGCACATCCCCACATTTTTTACTGACATATGATCAAAAATGTTTCCAAGGCTCCTTTGGAATATGTTGTGTTTCCAAGGCCTGAGAATGTCCAGGAGGTGATGTGCAGGCATGGAGCTAGACACAAGGGTGTGTCTAGGGGGCTAGGGTAATGACAGGTGAGGAATCAGGAGGGACTGAAGTGTTGAGTACTGAGCAACAGTTTATTCTTGTTTTTAATATATTCACTGAAGACCCTTGAAGATGGGAATCCTGTTATTTTTGGTTGGCAAGTCCAGAAGATAAAACTCAGGGATTCTTTGCATGTAATTTACTATGTGAATAATTCATGTAATTATTTGAGGATGTTTTCAAACATAGGGCATTTTGGAGTATGCTAGATCAGTCTCACCATGATGCTGTGTCCCTAGCGAGAATGTGAATATCCCCAAAAGCCTTGCGTGTAATTTCAATGTGCCATGGCCTGCTAGATGTATAGGAGATCTGGGTTTCAGGCTGATCCCATGGGCTCGGCTGGCTGCTCATCCAGAAGTCTGGCTCTTCAGAGATTCACCTTGGGTTTGAGAAGATATGGAAAGGGACATGAGGGAAGACTACATAATAACTTCTCTGCTTTTAACATTTTACATTGAGGATAGCCTGATGACGAGTGACAGGAGTAGAAATGATTTGTCTTTTGAAAGACCATACATAAAATTGTGAAAACCTCAGAAAAAGACAGAACATATCAGACGCTAAGTATTTCTCTCTTTGTCCAAGAACAGTTGGGTTTTCCCCTTTTTGAAATTCTGGCCAAAAATGGAGGAGAGAAGGACGTTCTCCAAGTTTTTTTTTAAATTACCCCATGTTCTTTGGACAATGGTGGGAAAATAAAATCATATTATTAGGCAAAAGGAGAAGTTAGTGAAGAAGGCCGTCAATGACCATATTGATAGAGCACTGAGATGGAGAGTACATGTGGCCCATTTAGCTCTCAAAAGGAGGACACAGGAAGAAAGAGGCAGGGTGGAAGAAATTAACGTTGCTTATTAATTGTGATGTCTTTAAAGCATAACACATTTCATATTCTAAAACCAACAAAGTGATTTTGCTCTATAAAGGATGACTCTAAGTATGATGGTAATATGTTACAGATGTTCTTTTTATTGCTAAAGTTTCCACTTAAAAATCTTTCCCATCATTTATTTATTCATTCAGAAATATTTGATGAGTACGTACCACGTGCTTTGATCTATGTGCTAGGAAAACAGCAGCATAATAGATGAGGTATCTGCTCTCATGAAGCTTATATTCTAGTGTGAAGGTACTGAAAAAAAAAAAACATATTCCATTACATGAAACGTAAAAAGGTAAACAAGATAATGTCAGACTGTGATAGGTACAGTACAGAGAAATAGACTAGGGTAAAGAGATGAATGACAGAGGGCTATTTTGGATTGGATGGTCAGAGAGGACCTCTTTAAAGAGATGGCATTTAAATAGTGATCTAATTGGCAAGAATGAACTCGTCAGATTGAAGAACATTCTAGATGGAGAGAACAGATGGTTCAGAAGTCATCAAAATGGTAACAAATTTGAGTTTGAGGAAGAGAAAGAAGGATCAAATGGTTGGAACTTAATGGTAAAGCAAAATGCAGTCCAAGATGAAATTAAACAGGTGGACAGAGTCTAGCTCTTGCAGGCATGACTGATCATTATTAGAAATTTGGATTTTAGGTAAGAAGGAAAGCTGTTGGGAGGTTTTAAGCAAGGAATTGATGTCCAGTTTGGGCAATGAATAGAGGACAGCAAGAATGAAAGTGCAGAGATCCTTAGGAGCAAACTGCAATGATTCAGGTGATCATTGGCACTAAGACAGTAGCAGTGAAGATGGGTGAAAAAGAGTGTATTGGGGGTACATATGGAGGCAGAGTCAACAGAACTTTCTGGGCATTTGTACATAGGACATAACAGAAAGAAAGAAATCAAAGATCTCTATTTTTGATGTGGGCATGGGATGGATGGTGATGCTACTTAGTGAGACAGGTAGACTAGAAATAAGAAACATGGCAGTTAATTCCCCTCCCCCACAAGAGCTGTTCTTCTCTTCCTTCTTGCTAACAGAGCCCTAACTTTGCTTATGTCCAGCCTAAAGTTCTGAATCATCAGTGGTATAATTCAATCATAATAATCCCATTCTCTTTTGCGAGATACTCAATTTCCCCATGTCCTTTGTCGGTAGGGGTGATTCATTTGTGGCTAGTGAAAGCCTTATAGAACTAGCTATGGCTATCTTGTAACCATCACAATGCCTGGAGTCACTGCAACCATCTTGTGACTACAAAAGATGTGATTAAAGGTCAACATGTTAAGGATGGGAAAGCAGGACAAGTAGAAATTGCCTAGGTCCTTGATAGTATAGTTTAATGGTGGCCCCAATACCAGCAATCGTCTATTTCCAGGCATCTTGTTTATTATAAGATAAGTAAAACTGCTTTTAAGTTTCTTATTAGTTGGTACAAGATTAAGGAAAAGAAATATGTTTTCTTTTGACCCTGTTCAATCTGAAATGCCTATTAAACATCACATGGAAGTGACTTATTGCTTTCCTTCCACATAGAATAAAAATTTCTAGACATTTTTATCTTTTCATATTACTACTATACAAGAAGACATGAAACTTTAAATACAAAGTGAATGAAATGGCTGTGACGATGAAAAAGTCCAAATCAGAAACTAGTCATCAATATAAAAGTCTGACTCTCTTTGTTTGAGAGGTTAGTGAGGCTAACCTCTCTGTTAATGGGGCCATGGAGAAAGCTCAGCCTGAGGCCCAGTTAGGTCCTTGCATTTCCAAGTACTTTCTATCACCTGGGTAGAGAAACATTGTCTGAGACTAGAGTACATATTTCTGTTAAGATACATTCTTTTCTATATATCACAGAGTACATGTATTGCTTTATTTCCTCTTCTGGCATGTAACAAATAGACTAATGAAAAATCTCCACTAACTTACCCAGGGCACCTAAAGTAGGCCAGATTGAGCTTTTAGCATAGTTTCTGGTTGCTGATAAAAATCAGTATCTACAAACCCAATTGCACCTATTTCCATTAGATCTGTCATCCAGAACTAGATATCCAGTTTTGTAGACAAAAAGTTTGCCAACTCACATATTTATTCCCTAAACACTTCATTGTATGCCAGATGGCTTCAACTCCATCTGTAGAAAACAACAGTAAAAAAAAAAAATTTAGTTTTTTTCCAGTGGCCCATCAGAAACAGCTATTGATTTTGAGTGTAACTGAGTCTGCAAAACTGACTTTGCAGGCTAAGTGTCTTGTTTTCTGTCCACATTGTGAGCCTGTGTTCTCCTGAGGTTAATTGGCTCATCATATTCAGCTTTCATGCTCCCTAGTTTATCACCATGCTTGGAACTTTTGCCCCTACACCTTTCATTTTGTTTTCCCATAATTTATTACAACCAACCCTTGTATTTTTTTTAACAGTTTTGGATCTGCATTAATTTTTAAGTCCCCGGAGGAACATTACGTTCCCAAACATTATGTTCTGCACTCTCATGCTCATATCACTTTGTGTAGTGCCAGACACCTCCTGGGATCTCAAGAAATGTTGTTTCTTTTTAAAAGATAGGCGATTACTCTAGGATGCCCATAAAATATCTTTCTCGGTTGAGTTACTTATCCCCAGTAGCTAAGGTAAAAATATCGGGTAATATAAAGTACGTCAGTCCTTGGAGAAGCTTTGTTAGTCTTGCCTCATCTCTCTGTAAAAGCAGAGGTGAATGTCTACTGGTCTTATTGGACTGTTGGGGGAAAATTACGAAAAACATCAGGATTGAGAAAGCTTTTTGTTAAAGACAAGAAATGATAGGGAGATGAATATATCATTCTTAGCAAGCAGGCCTCTGTGCAAGGAGAGCTCAAGTGATTGATAGATGTTCATCATTATTATGAAGAATGGTTGTCTAGCAGGGTCTCCTTCTGCTGGTGGCATCTAATGCAGACAGAAATTCTTTCCAAATACTCAAGACCTGCTGCACTCATAATATTTCCTTTTCTCCCATGTTCTCAACTATCAAAACACCTCAGTGCCTTTTCTACAAGGCAAATTTGAACCTCCCTCTAAATTAGGTTATTGGAGGCAGAGGAATAGGACCATGGACAGAGGTATAGTCATCCAATCACTGGTGCTGCAGGCAAGCCAACTCTCTTTGGTCAAGAATCCCTGGGACCAGGTCCTTAAATGAATAGACACTTCTTAATTCAGGGGTCACTTTCCCCTTCTCTAATTTTCTTTGGGTGTGGCACCGTTTCTTCTGGAAACTTTAGCTTCCCCCCACCAATGTCATTCTTCTGAAACACATAAAGGATATTCATTCTTGCAAATATAGCTTGTATGTATGTTATATTTGTTATATTGTATATATGTATATTGTATGTATGTTATATTTCCTTATAAAATATTTCAAACAAACAGGAAATATGGAAAATAGTTTAACCAACATCTATCTATGAAACACTCTGTTAGAAAGGAGAAAGAGAGAAGACCTGTCAGTCAGTTACCCACCACAATAGCCAAGGCAGTTTTGAAAAAGAGTAAGTCAGGTGGTTGCCCTACCATCTATAAAAATTTAAAACCTGAGGTGGCATGACAAACCAGGAATGAAAAGTTGAACCTCAAATCTTAATATTTGATTTATTTGCTTTAGGATTTTTTTGTTTGTTTCTTGTAAAAAAAATTTTGCAAGTACTGTTGAAACCCACTGCCTACCCCAGTCTCATTCATTTCTTAATTTTTCTCTTTTCCTCAAAAAGTAATCACTATCTTGGGCCTCCCCTGGTGGCGCAGCAGTTGAGCGCTGGGCTGCAAAGCTGCCCACAGCCTCTGCAGCGCCGGTTCGATCCCCAGCCACCAGCGAGGGTCCCACATGGCACTACAGACCTCTCCTGCCATGCCCACTGCTCCCCTCAGCAGTGTATTTCATCAGTCTGCCTGTTCTGTTCCCTGCTCTGCCTTTGGTGAATTCTCTCACCCTCCTGCGCTTCTGACTGTACCCAGTGCTTATATAAATAAATAAAAAAATCTTAAAAAAAATTTTTTTTTAAAAAGTAATCACTATCTTGAAGTTTCTGTAAGTCATTTTCATGCAGATTTTTATAGTTTTTTATTGTATGTATATATTAATAAACAATACATAGTACTGCTTTGTAAAATATAAAGGTATTCTATATCACACTGTACATAACATTCTACAATGCTTTTTAGTCATCATTATCTTTAGATTTATTCATGTTGCAATATGAAGAACTAATTCATTAATTATACCTGTTATATATTATTTGATATATTCAAGTTTGAATATACACAGCTACTCATCCATTCTTCTGTATCATGGTTGTTTTTGTTTGCCATAACAAACAATGCTGCAGTTAACATTGAAATGCCAGATTCCTGGCGTATACCATGCAAGAGTTTTTCTAGGCCAGAGCACCTCAACCTTGGTGTTGTTGACATTTTAGACTGGATAACTGTTTGTTGTGGGATAAGATGTTAAGCTGATCCCTCATCTCTACCTACTAGATACCAGACAACCCCTCCATACAGACACACACACAGGTAAGACAACCAGAAATGTCTTCCGACATTGCCAAATGTTCAATTGCCCTTAATTAAGAACCACACCACACTAATCTAGGCAATATATCTAAGAGAGGTACTACTGAGTCTTAAGATTGATATTAATAGGTATCATTGTTTTGTTTTCTAAGAATCCATATCTTAATAACTTTTGGTAGTTCCAGAATTTAAAAATTTTGCCTATTTGTGGTTATGAAATGGTAACTTCATTTCTGTCTTCTTTTCCCTTCATTACTAATGAGGTTGAGTATCTTCTTGTAGGCCTATTGGCCAGTAACGTTTCTCTTCTATGAAGTGGCCTACCCGTATCCTTTGCCACCTTCTGTCTAGGTATTTGTTTTTCTTTTTACTTTATGAGAGTTCTTTATAGTTTTTGAGTAGTAATGACTTAATGACTTTATATCTGAGAAAATATCTTCTGTCTTTTCATTTTGTTGACGATGACTTTTTAAAGTAGTGAAATGTATAAATCTTTTCCTTTAATTGTTTTTTCTTCTGTGATTTGCTAATAAATATTTCCTATCTCAAGGGTGTGAAGGTAATCATATTTTTTTCTAGAAGTATAAAATTGGACATATGTGAGTCCTTAAAGCAACTTAAGTTTATTATAAGGTGAAATTGGAGATGTATAAACATATATACTTATTCCAACACATATTTATTAAATGGTTCATCTTTTCACTCCTAGTTTGTCATGCCACCTCAGGTTTTAAACTTTTGTAGATGGTAGGGCAACCGCCTGACTTACTCTTTTTCAAAACTGTCTTGGCTATTATGGTGGGTAACTGACTGACAGGTCTTCTCTCTTTCTCCTTTCTAACAGAACATTTCAGGTGTCCATGAACCTATTCCATAGTGCTTAATTACTATAAGCCCCATTATAGTAATTCCATTCCAATGGGATTGGTTGAGTTATAGGCATGTGTTGCATCTCTTGCCACTGAAAGCTACATGGAATTGTGCTAGAGTGGAGGTGGGATGGGATAGGTAACTGTTATTCCCCCTTAAAAAGAGACTTAAGGAAAAGACTTGCCCTATCTATCTATCTTTATACATAGTTGGAGGAAAATGTGATGCCTGAAACTATGGCAACCATTTTGCCACTCTCAGGGAAAAAGCTGGAGATGACCACACTGAGAGTGATTATTAAGGAGACAGATGAAAAGGTCCAGGTCCCCATGATGTCATTGCACTGTTGAATTAATCAGTACTGAAACTAATTTCCATCGGACATGTTGGAATGCAAAATAAATAATCCTGTTATCGTTTAAGCGACTTTAAATTGCATATTCTTTTACTTGTAGGCATTCCCAATTACCAATAATAAATTTTGACCCTTTATTCTTCTTTTTGAATTTCGTGATCATTATTCCACATTACATAATCAGGTTGAAATTTTTAAAAATTGGGTTTTCATTGAAATTAAATGTTAACTTTAGGAGAACTGACTATTTCATTACAATGAAAATTTCAATTCATGAATATTGTATGCCTCCATTTATTCAAATACTAATTTCTTCCATAAAATATTTTATATGTAAAATTCCCATTTTATGTTATATTTATTCCTAGGTACTTTATTGCTTATTACTACTAAGATGGTGTCTCTTTTTTTGTTATTAAATACTGTATTGATAAACTGAGATACAGGATTGCAATCAAAATTCGTATGTTGATCTTACACCTGTCAATCTTGCTGAATTATCTTTTTAGTTCTTATCTTTTTCCAGAGTAGCCTATTTAACTTTCTTTATAAACAATCAAATTATCCAAATGAAGAGGGCTTATCTCTTCTTCTTCCCTACTGTGATAATGAAGATGTCATAGAATTAGTCACAGAGGTCTGTGGTTGCCTGATCCAATTTCCTGTTATGTGCCCTTGTTTTCCTGTCTCATCATTTCCTCATGTGAGGCCTATCAAGTCAGTTTCTTCAGCATTGTTAATAAGCCAGTTTGTAGGAGGATGGCAGTTCTCAGTCTAGTCCATAGTTTCAAGCAGTGAACCTAATTCTGATTCCCACACACACCAATCCAGATCCCTGCTAGTCACCCTTATTCTTCTAATGTTCCCTTCCAACATCCTCTCCTTCCTTTCATACCTGAAGCCCAATAGGGCCATGTCTTCAGCCCCTTTTTGGGTCAATTGTACTTTAAAAATTTTCTCCTTTATAGTTTAAAATCCATTGCTTTGTGTTGAAAGCTGAGCAAATGCCTCATAGGTTTATGTACAATAATGCTACCATGACCAGAAGTCATAATTCCAAATGTCTATTTGTAAAGAAATACAAAGCTAGCTTCTACCACCTGACTTACTCTTTTTCAAAACTGCCTCGGCTATTATGTGGGTAATCTGATTGACAGTTCTTATCTCTTTCTCCTTTCTAACAGAACATTTCAGGTGTCCATGAATCTATTCAATAGTGTTTAATTACTACAAGCACTGTGATACCATATGATACTCCATGTAGTAATTATCATCAAATCCAGTCTACTCAGAATATTCACAATGTTTTTTAGCTCTTTATACTTTGAAAAATACTGTGTTTTTCATGAGTA